AGGAAATTCACCCTAAACTTCCTACCCTGGGCAAGGCATCCTGATGATGTCATCCTAAGAGGGAGCAGGAAGGAACCTGGAAACAGCCAAGTGGACCTGTGTTTATTTCTAAACCCAGAACCAGAGGAACAGGACATTCTGTACATTCAAAAGGAAACTGACACACACAAGACTGATAAAAGAACAAGGAAAAAATTCAAAGATGTCTAGGGCAGACATGTCAGAGGGAAAAGAAAATTCCAGGACAAGGAATTGAAGGCAGACAAGCCATAAGAAAAACTTATTCCAAGAACAAATATCTACGTTGCCTGTCAACTTCAGATGTTTCTATTTTCCACAGAGAATAGCTAAGGCCAAAGGATTTCCTCAGATACACAAAAACCTCAATTAAATGGTTCCAGTAAGAACTCTCTCTGGTTACCAAAAAAACTCCACCTAAATAGAAATCTGTATGTAGAAAATTTGGAAAATCCAAAGCAGTATAAGAAAGAAAATACAACTGCAAATGATAAAAATGAAAATTAAAACTTCGAAAACATAGATACATTAAAAAGTAATAGGTACATCCAAAAATAAAAAGATAATAGTCATTATTGATATTTTGGTGAGTATATTTTAAATCTTTTAATCTTTAATCTGCATACTTATACAATGGTACATGTACTTTCCCAAATGAATGTGCTTGTATAAAAATATGTTAAAATAAGCCAGGCGTTGGTGGCTCACGCCTGTAATCCTAGCTACACAGGAGGCTAAGATCTAAGGATTGAGGTTCAAAGCCAGCCAGGGCAGGAAAGTCCATAGACACTTATCTCCAATAAACCACCAGAAAACCAGAAGTGACGCTATGGCTCAAGTAGTAGAGTACTAGCCTTGAACTGAAGAGCGGAGAGACAGGCCCAGCCCAAAGTTCAAGCCCCATGGACAAAAAAAAAAAAAAGTTAAAATATGCAAATCCCAAGAGGTGATATAGTAGTATACCAGGAGCTGTAAAAGGTCATCATAAGCCCAGAAATCATGAAAGTTATAAAGATTATTGTGTTAAGTTGGTGAAGGGAGGACAAGGAGGTCATAAGAATGCTCTGAGGAAAGAACTGCCCAACAAAGTCCAGGGCAGTCACTCCTAAAATAAGTTACTGTGGTTATCTCCTGTGCAAAAGGGTCAACATTGTCCAGGAGCATGTTTTAATATGTCCAAAAGAATGTACAAAGAAAACCACTGCTCACATTTTTTATTTCTGAATTTTATGGGCTTCAAGTCAAAAAAGTATTGGAAAGGGGCCTGGGAAGGTGGCTCAGTGATAGAGCGCTTGCTTTGCATGCCTGAGGCCCTGGGTTCGATTCCTCAGCACCACATAAGAAAAAAGAAAAAAGCCGGAAGTGGCACTGTGGCTCAAGTGGTAGAGCGCTAGCTTTGACCTGAAGAGCTGAGGGACAGCGCCCAGGCCCAGAGTTCAGGCCCACGACCGGACCCCAAAAAAAAAAAAAAAACTATACACAAATTTTTTCCCATAAGCAAAAGTCATCTCATGAAAAGCCAGTAAGCCAAGAGAGTTAATTTCTTTCTCATCTGGTAATTTCCTCCACCATACAGGACTCTTCTTGGTTGAATGACATTTTTACTTAGGGAAGCCTTCACTGACATCTCACTTGTGCGAAGAAATAATATGATGGGAGTCACTCTGATTTTGAATAAAATACTCATAACTTCAGCCAATTGGGGAGGTCTAATTAGCAAGTACTGGATTATTATTTGGTTTTGCTGAAGTTGCCAGTCTCCTTTAGAACAATGAGAACGCTCTAAGTCCAGCCTACAACTCTGTAGTATCCAGAGGGAAAAAGAATTAACAACCAAAAAATTCTAATTACTGACTACTGACTATCAGACTATATGACTATATCAGACTCAGAAACAGGTGGCTGGTGGCAGGGGCCTGTTATCATTGCTGACTAAGCAATGATAACAGAAAGGATAAGTAGGCTACAGAAGAAAGAGAGGAGCTATGGTTCCAAGCAGTAACTACCTTAACGTAACTGTTATCACCTCAACAATGGCTTTGTGCCCATATAACATTCCTTTGTGCCCACATAACATTCCTTCCAAATAAAGAAATGGAATGGGACCCATAGTTGTGAACCCACCTCAGAAGGATGAGGTTATATAATAAAACTAAAGAGTTCCTATATATAAAGCAGCTTATAGAAAGAATTTAGGAGGGGAAGTGGCACAGTGGCTCAAGTGGTAGAGTGCTAGCCTTGAGCTGAAGAGCTGAGGGACAGCATTCACACCCAGAGTTCAAGCCCCATGACTGACCAAAAAAAAAAAAAAAGAATTTAGAAGGGTCAATTTGAAAAAATTCAATTTCTGGATAATAATTTCACTAAAGGGCTAATTCATAAAAGTTACCAAAGTTACTTATTTAAAAAAATATTTTTCTGCTGGGTGTTGATAGCTCAGAAGGCTGAGATCTGAGTTCAAAGCTACAATGGGCAGGAAAGTCAATGAGACTCTTAATTTTCAATTAACTATCAAAACAAACAGAAAAAGGCTCAAGTAAATAGAGTGATAGCCTTGAGCAAAAGAGTTCAGGGATAGCACCCAGGGACTGAGTTCAAGCCCTAGGACACACACACACACACACACAATATTATTTCTTTTAAGTACAGGAACAGAACAAAAAAATAGGAATCCCAAAGACCAACTGGTGGCTGCAAATACCATGGGAGCAAGCAGCAGTTCTGGAAGGTAAATGTTCTCAGGTAACCTCAGTCGGGGCTGGGAAGGTGGCTCAGTGGTAGAGTGCTTGCCTCGCATGCAGGAGGCCCCGGGTTCGACTCCTCAGCACCACATACACAGAAAAAGTGAGAGTGGTGCTGTGGCTCAAGAGGTAGACTGCTCACTTTGAGCTGAAGAGCAGAAGACAGCACTCAGGCCCAGAATTCAAGCCCCAAGACCAAAAAAAAAAAAAAAAGGTTCCAGGTCAGATAACCTCACTCCTCATATTCCACGTAATAGCAAGAGAGTAAAAAAAAAAAAAAAAGAGCACAAGTGAAAAGAGAAGTAGACACGATGTAGAAGATGTCACCAGACCAAGGAACAGAGGGAAATACCTCGAAGTAAAGGGTATGGGTTATGTTCCATAGTGAGTAGAAAGGTCTAGAATTTAATAGGTGAAGTGGAAGCAAAAAACAAAGGGTTACAGTACAGATGGACAGTTAGAAGGGCAAGGGAATAAGATCCAGAAGAAGGGGAGAGGGGATGGTCACTAAGCTATTTCTGGAGCCTTCTTTCCTCTACTAGGTCATTTCCTTTCACCATGACAACAGTATGTGTCATTGACCCAGAGGCTCTGATAAAAATTGATGCAAACATTGTGAGAAAGTTTTCTGATTGATGTACCCTGAGTTAATAGGAAGCAAAAAACCAAACCTGAAAGTCAGCCAGACTTAACAACTTGTTTTCACAGCATAAGTTTCTACATAAAATTGTGTCATCCTGTCCTTTCCCTTTCCTTGAAATATCCTTCCTACTACTCCCATTTTAGCTTTCCTTTTCACCAAAGAAAAGTTGTGGGTTTGAGGATGGAGAGGACCTAATACATGCAAAACTTAAAAAGTATTTGCTGGGGCTGGGAAGGTGGCTCAGTGGTAGAGCGCTTGCCTTGCACGCATGAGGCCCTGGGTTTGATTCCTCAGCACCACGTAAGCAAAAAGAAAAAAGCTAGAAGTGGCGCTGTGGCTCAAGTGGTAGAGCGGTAGCCTTGAGCTGAAGAGCTGAGGGACAGCACCCAGGCCCAGAGTTCAGGCCCCACAACCGGACCAAAAAAAAAAAGTATTTGCTGACTACACTGATTTACTCTTTCTTTTAGAGCCTAAAAAAAATATATATATCAAAGGCTTTCAAATCAAGTCAGTGGCCCACACCTACATCAGCATTGTACCATGCCAAAACTGTTACTTAACAATTATTAACCATTTCTTACATATGAACTTACCTTAAACATGTTTTCTACTCACCACAGTATTTTCTCTAAATTAGAGCTTAGCAAGAACAGATGTAAGATTTCCTTATTACAGAATAACATCCTAGTCAGTATCACCAAATCCCTCCCTTACTTTTCTACAAGAATCCAAAGTGAAGACTTGTGTCTACAATACTGTAGAAATTTGATCCTACCTTCCTATGTAGCCAAGGGTCAGGTAACAGTGAGATGCGCCAGAGACTAAAGAGACTTCCCTCCAGAAGAAATTGCACATACTTCTGGTTTTTAAACTGGTTATTAAAACTTTTGCAAAAGAAAAGAGAAAAACTAAAAAAAAAACCTCTGCATTTTTAAAAAAGAAAACCTCTGTATTTTATGCACAGGGTCAATTCAGCTCTCACAACTGACAAACCGTATCAATTCCATGACAAAATAGAACATTAATGCTGCTTTTACTTTATGTTTGTGTTTTTTTGAAAGTTTATGCAAATATCAATTCTTGTAGGAAAAGGAAAATTTATGACAAAGTAGATACATCCAGTATAGAAAGCATGTAGGAATAATCCAGCAAACTAGCAAAATGAACATAATTACTTCAAATGGAAAATTCTAAAAATATAACTTCTTCACAAAAGGAAAAATAAAGCACAAAGAACAATCATTGAACAACATCTTCTAGGATCATTTAAAAGGGTATTCAATTTCCATTGAAATAAAATGTAAAATCAGGGCTGGGAAGGTGGCTCAGTGGTAGAGCGCTTGCCTTGCATGCCTGAGGCCCTGGGTTCGATTCCTCAGCACCACATAAGCAAAAAGAAAAAAAAGCCGGAAGTGGCGCTGTGGCTCAAGTGGTAGAGCGCTAGCCTTGAGCTGAAGAGCTGAGGGACAGCGCCCAGGCCCAGAGTTCAGGCCCCACGACTGGACCCAAAAAAAAAAAAAAAAGTGTAAAATCAAAACCTGGGTTATTAATGCCAGTTGTTGTTGTTGTTAACAGAAATTAGTAAGTTAGAAACCTACCGTCCGTCTGAGATTTACTGAGGAATATTGTGCTGGCCCGAGGATGGTCTGAAGGATTGAATTCCATGTTCAAATCTTTAAAGAAAAAAAAAAAAAAAAAGAAATTATATGAACAACTATCTGTTAACTAGAGAAAGACAATATTAACTTTCAGTTTTCCAAAATCTCAATTATTAATAACAGGACACAGCGTAATAGTATTTAGAACTCTGAAAAAGTTATATACAATAAATAGACATTTGACTGGAGATCATTAAGCTAAACTCCATTTTCCTTTGAAAAGATTGTTCTGTACCTAAGACATGACCAAAATAGCGGAATAGTTACCACATGTAATCAAGGAATTAGCCATTATGTTCACATGCATGCCAAAGGTGATTACATTAGGACATTTCAAGTTGTTACAATGGAATCAGTACTCTTACGCTCTGCTTATTTACGCTCTGCTTATTTAGATTACTTTGAAAGATAGTATCTGAAAGGAAACCACTAAAGTACCAGCTATTTGTGGGTCTAATCTGGGCTGTTCATGTATACTGTTGATCCATACTTCAAAAAAGAAAATTTAGCCAGGTGCTGGCGGCTCATGCCTGTAATCCTAGCTACTCAGGAGGCTAAGATCTGAGGATTGTAGTTCAAAGCCTACCCAAATAGGAAAGTCCATGAGACTTTTTTTTGCCAGTCCTGGGGCTTGAACTCCGGGCCTGGGCACTGTCCCTGAGCTTCTTTTGCTCAAGGCTAGCACTCTACTACTTGAGCCACAGCACCACTTCCAGCTTTTTCTGTTTATGTGGTACTGAGGAATCAAACCCAGGGCTTCACTCATGCTAGGTAAGCACTCTAACATTACGTCACCTTTCTAGCCCCCATGAGACTCTTATCTCCAATTAATCACCAGAAAACCAGAAGTGGAGCTGTGTATACCCAGGCCCTGAGTTCAAGCCCCACAAACAATCAAAAACAAACAAACAAACAAACAAAAAAAAAAAAGCAAGCCAGCCAACATGAAGGGGAAAAAAAGGAAATTAGGGATTTGAAATGTATAACAAAGAAAAAAATCCTTACTTCCAACTTCTCTGAGAAAATCACATCATTTGACAGCACGAGATCCCTTTTGGGGGGGGGCATCGGACTACTGCCCAGGCCCCAGTTCTTTTCCTTCGGGGAAACTCAAATGATGTTCCTTTCCTGCCTTCCCAACCCAAAGGCATTTGGTTCTGCAGCCCCTGCCTTAGAATAATCTCCAAGGGTCAGGACTTTGTCAGTGTCATTTAACAACTTAGAATCCCACCATGTATAAGTGTTTCCAGTTTAAAGAATTACCACCTTATTCCATAGGAAAAGTATAGCTAAGCAAAAGCAGGAGAATTAAGGGAGGAGAAAGAAAAGATTTAAAAAATCACTAGAAAGTCAGCATGGTCGTCATATCCACTTACAGCAACAGAATGAAAACTATGTGGGATTAAATTATTACAATAAATTTGCAAAGAAATGTAATTAATACCTGTATAAACAAACAGTTCTGGGCTGGGAAGGTGGCTCAGTGGTAGAGCGCTTGCCTTGCATGCTTGAGGCCCTGGGTTCGCTTCCTCAGCACCACATAAGCAGAAGAAAAAAAAAAAAAAGCCAGAAGTGCTAGCCTTGAGCTGAAGAGCTGAGTGACAGTGCCCAGGCCCAGAATTCAGACCCCAAGACCGGACCCAAAAAAATTAAAAAATAAAAAAAATAAACAGACAGTTCTATTCTTAACTATAGCTAATCAAGTCAAAGGGAAAAGAAGGAAAAATGAAGATAATCATAAAGACACCAAAGACAACATGGACTCACTCACCCATATAGAATCTTATCTTCAGCAAAACCTGGACATGAAGCAAGTTCTCCCAATACTAAGACTATACTTCCTAACCTTTCTCTTGGAACTTGAGTTAAGAAACAACTAATGAACTTCAAACACACTACTTCAATTGTCTGTTCCTTTGGTAACGTAATTTCTATTAAAGTTATATTTTGGTATAACTTTAGTTATAATTAGTTATAGTTTTTGTCTTGTTTTTTGGTAGGTTCTGGGGCCTGGGCCCTGTCCCTCGGCTCAAGGCTAGCATTCTACCACTTGAGCCACAGCACCACTTCTGACTTTTTCTATTTATGTGATGCTGAGGAATCGAACCCAGGGCCTCATACATGCAAGGCAAGCACTCTACTATTGAGCCACCTTCCCAGCTCCTATAGTTAGTAATTATAATTTATAATTGGTTATAATTTAGTCCCCTGCCCCCCCAGGAGGCACGGTGATCCTCCTGCAGCTCGATCTCTATGTGTCTTCATTCTGCTTTCAACAGGACTGGAGGGGGAAAAAAATCGGGAAACTTGCTTTTCCTTCTATGTAGAACTAAGGACAGAAATCCTGTTTCCTGCTTCTCCTATGAAAGAAGCATAATAAATATGATACAAGGACAAGGCTATTGTATGTTACCTTTCAGGACACACATCACAATCCTAAGTCTGGCCCAGATATTCACTGTGGCATAAACAGGTGGTTTTCCTGATGGTGACTGGCTAGGTATGACCTATATATGTTAGTGAGGAAGAGTAAGTCATATAGAGTTCACAGGAGGCTCTAGAATCAGAGTTTGATGAGCCATTCACAAAAGGGAGTGAGGCTTTGAAAGTGAAGTGCCCAACTAGAGATGACAAAATTTGGACCAGAACTCAGGGCTCCAGCTGGAACTCCTGAATCCAGAGCTTTTCCAGGCCTGGTTGTCCTACAAAGACTTGGAACTGAAGCAAAGTATGATGCTGAGGGAAAACAAAAACCCCTAAAAGCTGAGTTCACAAAACAGTTTCACAAGTTGTCCCTGAAATGTACATTCTAGACGAGATAACCAGGCACCCACAGGCACCTGCGTGTGGTGTGTGTGTGTGTGTGTGTGTGTGTGTGTGTGTGTGTGTGTGTGTGTGTGTGTGTGTGTGTGTGTGTGTGTGTGTGTGTGTGTGTGTGTGTGTGTGTGTGTGTGTGTGTGTGTGTGTGTGTGTGTATGCACGCACTCTCCCTCCACCCCACCCCCACACACACACAGCAAGAGTTCTCTGGGGGTTTTTTGTTTTTGTTTTTGTTTTTGGGGCAGGGGGGGGCTTGGTGCTGGACCTAGGGCTGGAACTCAGGGTCTGGACATTGTCCCTGAGCTTTTTGCTCAAGGCTAATGCTCTACCACTTATGGCACAACTCCGCTTCTAGTGTTTTTTTGGTGACTGGAGATAAAAGTCTCACAGACTTTCCTTTCCAAGCTGGCATCGAGCTGTAATCCTCAGATCTCAGCCTCCTAAGAAGCTAGGATTATAGGCATGAGCCACTGGCAAAGCAACAGGTGAATTCTCTGCTTCTAAACAGAAAGGTACAAAAGTATGTAAGTGCTATTGAGGAAGTCCCTGGAATCATGAGCTAAGGTTTTCTGTCATTGTTGTGCTGTTTGAGCAGTGACGGGACTTGAACTCAGGGTTTCCAGGTTGCTAGGCAGGTACTTTATTCTTCAGGCAACATACCCCTTGCCTTTTATGCTTTAATATTTAAACAGGGTCTCACATTTTTTATGGTAATTTGCCTGGATCTTGATTCTCCTACCTATGCCCCCTTGTAGCTGGGATCACAGGAGTAAGCAATCAACCCAAGCCATTAGCTAGATTTAATTTTTTTTTTGGGGGGGGGAGGGGGTGTTGGCCATGGAGCTTGAACTGTGGGCCTGAGCGCTGTCCCTCAGCTCTTCAGCTCAAGGTTAGCACTTACCACTTGAGCCATAGCGCCACTTCCCATTTTCTGCTGGTTAAGTGAAGATGAGAGTCTCACAGACTTTCCTGCCCAGACTGACTTTGAACCATGGTCCTCAGATGTAAGCCTCCAAAAGAGCAAGGATACAGGCATGAGCCACGGACGCCCAGTGCTAGATTTAATTTTAATGCATTACAAGTGCATTAAATAAACATGTAAGGGTTCAACATTTTCATGAACTTCCTGTGTATCACTTTAAAAGAGCATTTATATTACCTGCATTTTCTCCAATCTTAGCCCAGATTTATAGTCCATTAACTACAGAGATCAAAGTAATAACTCAGAGCAGGCCCAGGCTACCTTTGCATAGGACAAGGTACTTTTAATGTGAAGGTAGGTATTGTAGTTTATGTGTTCCCCAAAAGTTAATGTGCTGAAATCTGGCCTTCTTTGTTAAGTAAGCTGGTGGCTCATGCCTATAATCCTAGCTATTTAGGAGGCTGAGATCTCAGGACTGTGGTTTGAAACCATCCCCAGCAGGGAAATCTGTGAGACTCTCATCTCTAATTAACCACCAAAAAGCCAGAAGTAGAGCTGTGGCTCAAGAGGTAGAGTCAGAGCCTTGAGCACAAAAGCTCAGAGGCAGCACTCAGGATCAGCACCAGAGAGGGCGGAAGGGGAAAGAGGGACCAGGAGAGAGGGGAAAAGGGAGAAAAAGGACGGGAGACTTAATCTAGCTTTGTATTTACACATCGCACCTTTAAGAATGAGTAGAACAAGATAAAGCCACTAAAGGGTTCCACAATGATTGTTTTATAGGTCATTTCTCAAAAGGAAGAGAGACCAGAAAAGATACACATGCATTACGGCATGCTCCCTGTCTCTCCCAGTGAGAGAGCCACCACCAGATGTGGTCCCTTGACAATGGACCAGAACTATGACCCAGTATAAATCTCTTTTGTTTATAAAGTAACTGCGTGGGGAATTTTATTATACTAATGAAAGGAAACTAATATAATGGTACAACCACATAACATGGCTTACTAAACTCATCTTCTAATATTCAGAGAGGAAGACTACAACGATAGGTGGAATTGCCACAGGTGGTCCTAGGGTTTGAGTTTAAGAGACAACTTGACAAGACATAAGGTCCAGCATCTATTTTTAGCTCTTACAAGTCTATGTTTTGTTTTAGCTATTTTGTCTTAAGGATACTATATTCTGTCTCACAGGATCTGGTCAAATATTTCATTCATTATTATTCATTGGTTGATCCTGTGCTCTAATGTATCATGGGCCTCATCTGTTCTCT